TTGTGTTCGTCATTTTGGTTAATTACTGGAAGATGGCGGTTCCAGCTAAAAGGCCAAGATCCCTTTTCCACTCTCCTCTCAGAATTCTGGGCATGCACGCACACATGCAAGGAGTGTTTTTCTTTTTCTTTTTTAAAGAATTGTTTTATTTAACTTTATTTTATTTATTTATTTATTTATTTGACCAGAGAGGGACAGAGTGTGGGGGGGTAATGAGAAAGCAAGCCATCTTGTCGTCTGGGACTTGAACCGTGGTCAGCCATGTGGAAGTCCAGCACCCCTAACCAGCACACCACCTGCCGGCCCCAGAGGAGTGTTTTTTAAGGAGCCAGGCTTGGGACTGAGGCCTGGGATTCAGTCATGTGGGATCCAAAACTTAACCAACACATCACCTGCTAGCTCCCATGGACATTCTTCGATCCCAGAAATAGAATATAGCAAAGGAGCGTTGCACAGAAATCCACGAGGAAACTGATGTATTAGAGGAACAAATCCAGTACAAGCACTTCACACAGGAAGGACAGCTTTAGTTGGGGACCTGTGAATGGATCTTACAGCGACTGACTGCAGGAGTGTTTCCTTCCTGAATTACAGCGAAACTTAAGCCCACATCTGAATGAGTGCATTCTTTAACCTAGAAACCTCCTGATCACTGGACAAAGAATGCATTCAGACCTGGGGATTATTCATAGGAAAATTCTTTCATATGTATACATGCAATCATCTTTAAACACTAAATAAACTGACTTGTTAAGGATGCAAATTTAGGTAAAATTAAGATTGTCTTTGAAAATCTGGACTGAGGTTCTTTGTTGCTTTGGGCAGAAAATAGGATAGACTCCCCATAACTGGCCATTTTTCACTCTGACCTCTACCCCAGATACTCATATAAGATCAGGAAGTTACACCCTCTGAAATATGATACTTCATTTACTCTGGGAAGGGCTGGCCACCACCTGGAATCCATCCCATTGTAGAGTGTGATTTGGACACGTGGAAAGAAGTTAAGGGTACAGGCCGGGAAGCTAATCCCACCCCCACACCCCCACACCGCCACACACACACGGGTTGTGTGTGCTCACAAGAGGGAGATAGAGAAAGTGAGAAATCATTCTCCCCCTCAACCCAGGGAGGACGGCCATGCCACAGTCCCTTCTCCATTCTCCTCTTGGGATGAACGTGCACATGTCTGGAAAGATGTTCAAGCCACCAGGTCTGGGACTGAGCTGTAGTCGGCTCTGTGGGAATCTAGTGCCTCAAGCACCACGCCACCTGTGGTCTAATTACTTAGTTTTACCACAGCTTACATCCTCATCTGCAAGTTGGGGAAAATATTCCCTACTCTATCTCTCTGATCCATCTAAAGACAACAAAAGAAATGTTGAAATAATAACAGGTGCTCAGGGGACCAGCAGTTGGCATAATGGCTGTGTTGCTGGATTCCCATGTAGTCAACCATGGTTTGAGTCCCAGACCTGGTGACTTAAACTCATGCCCGGCACATGTGTATGCTTGCCCAAGATCCAGAGAGGAGAATGGAAGACAAGGGATTGCAGTGTGGCCATCCCCCTGGGGAGTGATTTCTCACTTTCTGTCTCTCTGTCTCTCTTTGTCTTTCTGGAGAGCGAAAAAGAAAAAAACCACACACACACACACAAAAACCCACACAGGTGCTCAGTGAACAGCACAATTATATCTATAATCTGTTTCTGAAACCAAATGGCCTCTCTATATTAGAAAGAAGTAGCTCCACATTATTATCGGTTTAAAATATTTTTCAAGCCCTGGTTTTACGGCAGGCGTTTGAAGTGAAGTATTTTGACCCAAGGCATTCAATGATTTGGGGGGGAATGTTGGAAAGCAAGTGTGATACCAGCAGCGTCCAGAAGAGGGGGCTCCTGAATAGCTGGCAGCACATTTGCACTTGGCTGCTTCCCTGTTTTAACCAGAAAACACACAGCCCAGTGTGACCTTCTCCAAAGGCGTCGACAATTCGCTTTTCTCTGACTCAGCGCATCCCACCAAGGAAGACTCTTTTGTTTTCTCGAAGAGATGTCTTCCTGGAGATGAATGAAGGATGCACACCAGCATTTCCGAGGGCTACGTGCCTCTGTTTCTCCCTGCTCGTTAATTGATGAGTGTTTTAATGAATCAGTATTCTGTACTTGAGGAGTTTCTACAAGGCTCTCCTTCTGCCTCTTCCTTGGGTACTTGTCTGTGGGGGAGGGAAGCTGCAGCCCTGAGTCTAGCAGCTGTGTCAGGGGCCCAGGAGTTTCTGGTTTCTACTTTGCATGAACACAGGACAATCCACAAATTATGAGACCATTTTCTCAGGGTAATGTGGGAGCAAAGGATCCTGAAGCCCTGCAAATGTGTAGTTTCATTCTCTTGTTCGGCCCAGGGAATCCATTACCCAAAGAAGAGCACATTCATCTTTCTAAAGAGGGATCAGAAGTGGATCTACTCCAGCACTTACAGACCCAGGCACAGAGGCCAGCAGGTGGCATGGGTTAAGACGCTGGATTCCTACGTGGCCGACCACAGTTCGAGGCCCAGACCTGGCAGCTTGCTTTCTTACTTTTCCTTTCTCTCTCTCGTCAAATAAAAAATAACAATAAATAAGATAATAATAATAATAATAATAAAAGATCCAGGCATAAATGTGTGAGCCAGGTTAGTGTAAAGTGAGAGGGAGGGGTGCGGCCTGTGGTTAGAAAGTGGACGACTCCCTAAAGCCATTCTGATTCGAACCCATGCACACACACCCCGGGCTGTGCCACACAACACACCGCCCAGCAGCCCACAGTTGATTTGCTGGTCTCGCTCTGTAACAGGAAGTCCAAACTCAGCAGCCTGCCAAGGAAGACCGATTCACGCCCCTCCCCACTCCCGAGCGCCTGCTTTCCAACACCTTGACTGCCTGCTCTTTTCCTTCCTCCTCCACTCACTCTCTGACCAGCTCATCCTTCAAGGTTGGCTCAAACCTGGGCTCACCTGGGAAGCCTTTTCTAACTTCTAACTCCCAGTGATAGCCCATCTGCATTCTTCCTGTGGTGCTTTATTTATTTATTTATTTTTTAGAATTTTGTTGTTGTTGTTATAGGGTATGTGTGCTCGCCAGAGAGACAGAGACAGAGAGACAGAAAGCGAGAAATCACCCCCCCCCCCCCAGGGGAGATGGCTACACTGCAATCCCTTCTCCTCCATTCTCCTCTTGGGATCTTGGGCTTGCATGTACCCATGCCTGGTGTGAGTTTAAGCCACCAGGTCCAGGGCTCGAACCGCGGTCGACTACATGAGAGTCCAGCAACATAGCCATTACACTAACTGCTGGTCCCCTTCCTGTGGTGCTTTGAGGCTGCCTGATAGTGGTCAGTCCCTGTTTAGGAGTAAGGGAGACTGAAGTCGGCCTCAATTCTCCTTCCTAGGCTCCCGGACAAGGGTAGGAGGTGGCTGGCCAGGGAAGGGGAACCTCTTGAAATTTTAGTAAAGTACGAATAACATAAAAATCATTCTTGTAACCATTTTAGTACCTTTACAGTGTGAGCAACCATCCCCTCTATCAAGTTCAGAACATTTTCTTCTCCCTAAAAGGAAACTCCTTACCTAATACCCAATAAACAGTTACCCGCCCCCCTCCCCCCCACTAATCTGCTTTCTGTCTGTATAGTTTTCCTGTTTTGAATAATTTATATAAAGACACTCATATGATATATGGTCTTTTGTGTCTGGTGTTTTTCACTCAACATATTATTGGCTCTTTCATGTTGTAGCATGTATTATGACGTCATTCCTTCTTATAACTCAATAATATTCGATTGTATGGTTATACCATTTTATTCATTCATTCCTCAATTGATAGACATTGGGGTTGGTTTCAACTTTGCATTATTGTGACTTGTGCTGCTATGAATATTCATGTACAAGGTTTTGTTTGTACACCTGTTTTGGATTCCTTGGAGTACGTACTAAAGGGTGCAATTGCTGAGTCATTCAGGAACTCTGTGTCTCAATTGCTGTGGAACTGCCAGGTGCTCTCCACTGCGGGGCACCATTGTGCATTC